TTCACCATCATCGACGGTGAATTATTCAAACGCGGAATTTCCATCCCACTGCTCAAATGTTTGACCATATCTCAAGCAGACTATGTTGTCAAGGAAATTCATCACGGAGTATGCGGAATGCACTCCGGAGCTCGCTCGATGGCAGCCAGGGTACTCCGGGCTGGGTACTACTGGCCCACCTTGAAGTCAGATTGCCAAAACTACATCCAGAAATGCAAAGAGTGCCAGCAGTTTGGCAACGCGCATCGGCAGCCCCCCGAGGCTCTTCACCACATGATGGCAGCATGGCCTTTCTCCCAGTGGGGAATGGACATCCTTGGGCCTTTCCCCCCCGCGAAGGGTCAGTTAAAGTTCCTCCTGGTGGCAATCGACTACTTCACCAAGTGGATCGAGGCGCGCCCACTTGCCAAGATCACCACGGAAAACGTGCGAAAATTCACATGGAAAAACATCGTTTGCAGATTCGGAATTCCCCACACTATTGTCACTGACAACGGGCGGCAGTTCATCGCAGAAGAATTCGAAGTCTTCCTCCAAGAACTCGGAATTAAGCACTTGCCGACCTCGGTGGAGCACCCCCAAACCAACGGCCAGGCCGAAGCAGCCAATAAGGTCATCCTCCGGGAACTCAAGAAACGGCTAAGGAACGCAAAAGGGGAGTGGCCCGACATGCTTCCCGGCATCCTCTGGGCATACCACTGCACCCCACAGTCAACATTATTGGAAGCGCAAATGGTCCCGGCAGCAGGAGGAGTTATCAAGGTTGAAGGGCCAGGTGCAGCCCTTGATGGAGGAGAATAAAGTTCTGGCCGCCACTCTGCTCGAGGCGAAGCTGCAGGGGGTCGAGCTTCAGGCGGCGCAGAGGGATCTTGCCGAGGCCCGGGGATCGTTAGAGGCGGCCCTCCGTTCTAACGAGGCTTATGCTAGCCAGGTTCGCTCTCTGGAGGAGGAGATATCCTTTTGGAAGGGTGAAATGGCGTCTGTATCTGAGGAACGTCTTTGCGATGAGGTGGTCCTCAGTACTAAGGAGGCGAAGGTGGTCCATCAGAGGGAGAGTCTTTCAGCTCTAGAGGCCGAGAATGCCGCTTTGAGGAAGAGACTCGAGGAAGTCGAGCGCTCCATCGTGGTGGAACATAAGAGAGGCTTTCTTTATTTTAAATAATATATTATAATATAAAATTATTTTTAATTAGTATAATGTTTAAAGAGTTATTAATTTAAAAAATATTAAAATAAATACGAAATGATATTAAATATAAGACATAATAGGTTAAAAAAAATATTGAAATAAATCTAAAATAATATATTCATAGTGATAAAAAAATTAAAATTATAAAAACAATGCATGTTGACATATTTGAATTTTGAAGTTGAAATATATGATTTTTATATTAAAAAAATATAAGTAATATTAGTAAATGTTTGTTAGATATATGAAATTTATCTTTTTCATGAGAGAAAATATTTAAATAAAAAATAATGTAAAAATGAATGAAGAGAGTAAAATATTAAAATAAAAATAAAGAAATATTTTAATTTATATAAAGATTCATATTTAGCTTGCGTGTCAAGTTATATGAAGACAATTAAGAAAGTAAATATCCTTAATGATTGTACTATATCCAGGTTCATGCTTGGAGCTGCTATAAACCGAAGCTGGTCCCTGAGATTAAAACTTTAGGTGCCATGCATAGCTAGCTATAGGTAGCTTGAATATTAAAGTTTGAATCTAAGCACTAAGAAGCACACCTGTTCATGCATTAATGGTCACACCAAATCAAAGTATAATGAAATACTCTATCTTAATTTAGTGAAATGAAAACATAGTTTTTATTTTATATATAGTTTATTTCCTTTTTAAATTACCTAAAATGGAATTCAAATATAATGTTTCCTGTCGTTTTAATCCATCTATAGTATAATAATTTTTTTTAATGTTCGTAGATTAATAAGAATTGAAAATATTTTATTTACATTTTGGATTATTTAAAATTGTATTTAGGATTTAAATTCCACTACACCAAAATTAATTTTTTGTGGCAATTATTTTATTATTTAGCGACCATATAAATGACTATTATTTTTTTTACCAGCATTTAACTAATGATTGATGTATTCAGTGTCGTTAATACTATTACCGGCATTTATATAAAATGCCGGTAAAACTATACTAAATTGTCGAAAAAACTTATTTTTTTAGTGACAATTCTAGTAGCCATTTTAAAGGCTATTAAAAGTTATTTTTTTCAATTGTCTCTTTTACTTTAAATAATTTATTCCTATAATTTCGTTTTCTAAATTCATAACTTATATACTTTTTTATCTCTACTCGATGTGGGATTTGTAAGATGAGAGTTGTCTTTTATTTATATATATTTTAATTTATTTTTTTAATTGTCTTTTCTTTTAAGAGATATGAGATTTATAAGGTGAAAGTTGCTCTCTAATTGTTTTATAGCACTATTGAACTTGGTAACAATGAGTGATTTGATACCAATTTAGAATAGTAAATTAGGAGTCAATCCTATAAAATAAACCTGTAAGATGATAGTTATTACTCACTTATATACTATTTAATTATCTTATCTCTAATCGACGTGAAACTTAAGTTTTTTCTAATAAATAATTGTCGCTAATAGTAAACTTTAATGTAATATAAATACATTATTAGTGACTATTATATATTAGCCATTAATATTTTTACATATGGCGGTAATTAAATTATTATCGTTAAATAATTGTCATTAATAAAAAAATTTTGTTATAGTGAAATTTCAATTATATAATCAATTCCATATATACATTCAATTTAAAATTTAATGACTAAAATTCAATTATAGTCCTGAATTGTGTGAATTCAAGTATTTTCATTCAATTAATCTTTTTTTTAAATGCAGTTGTATAAAAACATTTAAAAGAATAACTTTGTTTTCGATAATAGTTTTCATCAAGCTAACTTAAATTAATCAAGTACTCGATGTGATGATATCTGAACAATAGTTGGAAAAAAAAAATTCAAGCAACACTTTTGTGAAAATATATTACGTGTCACAATTATACTCAGAGAAAAACTGTCGTAAAGTTCGTGTTAATGAGTTAATTTGTCAACAAAATAAACCTATTATCTTTTTTTTTAATTTAATTTATTTTTTTTAAGTTCACCCATTACCTATTATCACGTTGTTTATACGCCATAAAAAATAATATTTTTTTTCTCATTGGTATAAACTCATAAATAAATATAAATTAAACATACTTTTAATACTTAAATTTTTGTATTTAATGATTTAACGATTTAATCTCTGAATTTTTTTTACTTAATTTTATTTTTTAAATTTATTTATAGGCAACAACAGTTGACTTAGGAACCAAAATGTTAAGAGAAGGAAAATTTTAAGAATTAAAGGTAAATGTCAACAAAAATTTAAAGACTAAAATTAATAAAAAAAATTATTCAAAGACTAAAAATAAAAATAATAAAAATTAAAGACTAAAATCATAGATAATCCAGTTCACAATTAATATAAACTTGGCTATTACTATAATTTGAGATTTAAAATTTGGAATTTAGGGTTTTATTTAAATACGCTGCTAATAATATTTACCATTGTCGCGCATCATTTTATTTGAACTAAATAAAATGTAAATGTAGGAAAAGAAACTAACTAAAATAACCAATAAAAGCCAACAAACACAAATGTAAGGCACAATCTTTGGCCTTCATTCTAGTTGCCTTGTTACTTTGGCCAAATAAGAAATATAAATATATTCAGTGCAATATGGTCTCATTTAAAACTTCAAGATACAAGCTACCTCTATCCCCCTCCCTACACACACAGATTCAACTTCCATTAATCTAATTTAATAACTTAACTTATTAATTTAGCGCAAAAAGTAAACATAATAAATAAATAAGTAATAACCTTTGCCTATAAATTATGGCAAATTTCAGTTACCAAAAGCAAGGTACTTGTACACCAATTTTGAAGAGAAAGGGTTTGAAAAATGGTTTCGAAGCGTCTCCCATTTGTTGTCTTTTTCTTCTCCATCATCCTTCTTTTCTCTTCCACGATTGGTTCACCATCACCATCACCACCACCTTCACCATCACTACCACCTTGTGTGGCATTACCAATATTGCCACCCTTAGGCTCACCACCATTGTCTCAGCCACCTACCTTACCACCGTCGTTGCCTCCCATCTCACGACCACCACCACCACCTAACTCACGACCACCACCACCACCTAACTCACGACCACCAGTGTCTCAGCCACCTTCTATACCACCATCGTTGCCTCCCATCTCACGACCACCAGTGTCTCAGCCACCTACCATACCACCGTCGTCGCCTCCCATCTCACGACCACCGCCACCACCTAGGTCACCACCAGTGTCTCAGCCACCTACTATACCTCCATCGTCGCCTCCCATCTCACGACCACCCCCACCACCTAACTCACCACCATTGTCGCCTCCCATCTCACGACCACCGCCGCCACCTATCTCACCGTCGCAGCGGCCTCCACCACCACCAGCTAGTTGTCAAAATCTGGATGTTTGTGCGGGTCTTTTGGCCTCAGTGCAATTACCTGGGGTGGGGGCTACTGCAGCAATCGGGATTTGCTGTTCCACCCTCCAAACTTATAACACTAATAGAGCTGCTGAGTGCCTTTGCACCAATGGGAGGGCCCAAGTTAACAATGCTACCTTATTATCACTTCGAATAAGCCAGATATTCGGTCGTTGTTCACTCGGCCCCAGTGACTACAGATGCACTTAAGAGCAAAATATGTATCATATTCTGCTCTTTCTTTCTCTTTTCATACTTAATCAAGGACGTTATCATTCCTGTCTACTACATATACACATGCAGATATGTTAGTGGAAACTATATTATTATACCGATAACCGTCCATACATTATAATAAATAAATAATACTTTACAAATATATAATTGTGCTATTATTCTCCCCATAGATGGGGTGGGGATCCTATCTTCCTCCTTACTATCTTTGTTTATCAACTTTGACTGAAAGTTGTTCAATAAAAAAAATACTTTGTTTAAGAAGTAATTCCGACTCATTCAATTCCTTATATATCTCTCTTTCTTTTTTACTTTCGTACTTTTTAAGCATATAATTGTTTCACTTAATCAAGGTGCCATATTAACTAGATAGGAGCATTGATCTTCTAATTAATAACATTTAAATGTTAAAATTATATAACAGATATTTGGGTTTGGTTTCTCTCTCACACTCACTTGTATTACGGAAATAAGATCACTAAGTTCATAAACTATGAAAGTGTACATGTGATGGAGCGAGAAGTCTTTGCTCCATAACTTTCGATTAATAAACCAATGTTTTATAAAATTAATTGAACTTTTCAAGCCATTAATTTAAGGTTTTATTGTAATTGAATCATGGTAAAACTAATATAAATAAAATAATAGCAACAATTACAATATTATTATTATTAAAATATCATATTTACCTTGTGTATTCTTACCATCTTTGATAAAGATTATTCACATCTTACTAGTAGATATTTCGTATCAATATTATAGTTAAAAAAACTGTATGTAAGTGTTTAAATTAAATATATTATAATATTTAATCTAAGTTTTAATCAATTAAGATACATCAATATTTATTAATAATTAATAAGTTTATATTTTTGGTAGAGTAAAAAGCGGCACGAAAATAGCAACTAGCCTACATTTGCTAGATCTTGAAAGAAAACTTCAAGGACTAGGGATGGAGGAGTAATGAACTCTTTAGTCAAACTGTTGGTCCCTTTATAAGCCAAGCAATCAGTCACTTTATCCCACTCTTAAGAGATATGCACAATTCTCACACTCCAATGCTTCCTCAAAATATTCTATATTTGCAAAAAATTATCCTTATGTGCATGCAATGACAACTCTCTCAACTATGTCTGATGTCATTCAAACTCGAGACGAGTCTCTCTCCTCATGTCTGACGCCACCAATTATGCGTCCGACACTTGCAACCAAAGAACAATGATTCTAATTAACACAAGCAACTCAAATTCAGCTCAAACACTAACATGTAAAAGCAACACATAAGAAATCATCATAGTCTTCTTCAAGACCACAAAACCCCAACTTTCATCACACAACTCACATTGATTTTGTTTGACAACATCAATGAATTGCAAGGAATTCATACGACACACATTCAACACATAATTCAACAACTCAACATGTAACACTCTGAATTTGCTACTTGATTATTAATTATTTTTATATAGTTATTTTTGTTAATTAAAGGGGTTTTATAGAGGTTTGTATTAATTTAAAATTATTTACGAAATTTTTTATAAAAATTCTATTTTTTTTAAAATGGAACGGGCTGTTCCAAAAAGTGGAACGGGCCGTTCCAAACAAAGAAAATAAGTTATTTTTGTAGCAGCAGAACGGGCCGTTCCGAAAGTGGAACGGGCCGTTCCAAAGAAGAAAAAATGCCTCTATGGGTTTTTCCAGAACGGACCGTTCCCAAAGGGAAACGGGCCGTTCCGAAATTCTAAAATTGCCTAAAGACCTTAGTTGGGAATGGACCATTCCAACTATGGTCAATCAGTGTTAACGTGAACTTCAGAACGGGCCGTTCTGCTTTTTGAAACGGGTCGTTCTGCTTTTTGAAACGGGCCATTCCGATTTTGGAACGGGCTGTTCCAGTTGAAAATTTTGCACAGATTCGAAGGATCCGGATGCTGGTCGAGGGGTAGGGACTATTTGTCACCTTGTTAGCTTTTCCTTTGTATGCTTTTGCTTAGTGTTTCTGAGTTGGGATCGTTCCTCGTAGGTGGAGGCTGTCGTTGGGTCGACTTCCCGGGCCGTTGGCCAGGCTGGTGTGCCTTCTGAAGCGGAGATTCTGACCGTTGGGCGGCTCGCTCCTATTGTTGAGGTGGGCAGCGTGTGGCTGTGATCTGCTACATTGTTGCGTCTCTTGTTTAGTTGGTGAAATTTTTATATTTTTTTGCTCTATATTTTTTGTAGGCGGGGAGCACCGCAGGGGTTTCTGATGGTCGAAGGTCACCGGTGGTGGGGGGTAACGTCCCGGCGACTGGACCAGCGGTTGGGCCGGTGGCCTCCTCCTCCTCAACCGATCGTCGTGGTGAGGGCTCTGGTTCTGGGGCTCCGGCTCCTACGCCTGCGACGAGGGGGCCGCCCAAGCGTCCCTACCTTGCGTATCGTTATGCGCAGGAGGGTGCGCCAACACGGTTGGAGCACCTGAGTGCGTCGGAGGGGATCGACTCTTGGTGGAGCGCCTCGCTGACGCCTGAGAAGTGCCCCCCCCCGACCCGATCCATTTTAAAAAAATCAATCATATTTTAAAAAAATCAAACCGATCCACTTTATAAAAATGGATCAGTTAACCAATCCACTTTTATAAAATGATTTAGTTTGGTTCGGTTCGAATTTTTCAAAAAACCGATCCATGAACAATCCTA